CATCTCACACAGCCATACTTCCAGCATTTTCAGTACATTCGTGGAACTCCTTCATTCCTGAACCCTTTTGGATAACACGGCGCTTGACCTGCTGCAGATCTAACCACCGCTCTCGTCAGCATATCTAACAGCAGCATCCTTGGCTGGTCAAGAATTACGCATTTCACACTGCATGGACCTCTCTACGGAGGTGGCAGAAGACACTGTGGATGTTGCTTAAAGCAGACCTTCACACTCCAAAATCCAATTCTACCAATGCATGACGTATGTTCTCTATGTATGAGGATTAATAATAGACATGTCAAGTGTAAAATGCTGTGATTGTGAAACACTGACACTTGCAGAGCATTCATTTCCTGCTTTGAAAGTTCAAATTACTAAAGTCTGCCAAAGCAATGCACACTGGGATTGCCTTGTAATCATCAGAGCATTGCTGGGAAATCTCGTCTGTAATCTCAGGAGATCTCAGGGAAAGGCATTTTTCTCCCCTGAGATGATGTGCATGGTCACATGTGCCAGAGTTCCAGGAATGAAAAGGAGAGATAGTAATCTGCCCTTAGTAAACATGGCCACTGTCAGAAGACTGGGGAAGAAAAGCGAAATAAGGAATACAAAGAATACAAAGCCGGCAATTATCTAGAAGTATGTGTGTGTAGATTGTCATCACTAACATTTCTAAAGGTGTCTTTGTTATTTTAAAGATCTGGGTAAAGGTCCGCTTTAAGTAGCACTAAACTCCGGAGTGAAACCTTCAAAATACATTGTTGTTCATAGTTAAGGGACCTCAATGTATCTTATTTGTGTATCACTCGGCTGTAGATCCTCCAATCATCTCTGAATTGGTGCTGACACTGTCCTTCCTTCTGGAGGGGGGCTACTTGTGTTCTCCATCGTCCCTGTGTGTGTTGTAAAGTAGTCACAGCTCCAAGCTCACTCCTGGGATTGACTACAATCTCATGTTCAGTTTACAGAATTGTACTGAGCTTGTAGTCCATCCCGGAGTGATCTTGGAGCGGTGACTACTCTATAACACACGGGGACAATGGGGAACAAAAGTAGCCCCCTCCAGAAGGAAGGACAGTGTCAGCACCAATTCAGAGATGATTGGAGGATCTACAGCCGAGTGACACACACATAAGATACATTGTTGTTCATAGTTAAGGGACCTCAATGTATTTTGAAGGTTTAACTCCGGAGTTTAGTGTAATTTTGGTCTCACAGATGTAAGGTAACTGACCTTTTTGGATTCTGACTCGAAGGTAGAAGGTAACATTTCAGGGAAGAGCTTCAGAAAGACAGGCAGCAGAAACTCCATGAAGGGGACGATCACAAACACTATGAACGGCAGCAGGCGGAAGAGATCTGCACACGTCCTCATCAGCTATAGAACAAAGCAGAAGATTATATTTATACGTCACTATATCTATGGGAATCAGGAACGCTACAATTATGATAATAATGTTCGAGTATATAAACATAGAGGAGAGACAAGTAGTGACTCGCATTAAATCTGATCACCTTTCAACACTTAAATGAGAAAAGTGAAAGCCAGTTCCTGAATGGCTGCTGCAAGAGTAGGCACACTATGGCACTCCAACTGTTGTGGAACTACAAGTCCCACAAAAGGAGGACAGAGAGAGAAGGAGGACAGAGAGAGAGAGAAG